CTTTTAATTATGTTTGAAATTATGAACATTGCTCAACATCATGAAAATTAAACCTTATTTTCAATAAGCAATCCTGAAAAATATTTGGGGGTGCTTAACTTTTTTCCAGGTGTATAATATCCAAAAGATTACAAAACTTCAATAATAATTACAGTGTACATACACAACCAATACGAATCACCTTATGATAATAAAATTTCATAGTACATGAAAATACATTGGGAAAAGTGTTGTCAATCCTTTTGACATGAATTATCTTCAAACCATATTCTCATAGTGATAAATTGCAATTTAACAGCTTTATGTTCTTTTTTGTGTTTTCTTTTTTATTTCTTTCTTTTTTCTCTATCCTTTCTCTATTTCTTTCTTTCTGTCTTTTTCTTTCTCTGTTTCTTTCTGTCCTTTTTTTCTCTGTTTCTTTCTTTTTTTTCTTTCTCTCATTCTTTTATTTTTGATAAGATATCCCATAATGGGTAACAATACTAAGACCATCTTACTTTCTTCAAAAGCTGGGATAGGTTTCAAAGAAGCAACCTGAATTTTCTGGTTAGGTTTTTACAACCGACTGACAGGTATGACAAGTTTTATAAAACTGAGAAATGTCTTGCCTAACATTTGGCCAAAAGAAATGTCTCATAATTTTGTCACATGTCTTGTTGATACCTAAATTACTTCCCATGGGGAGTTCATGGGCAACGTTTAATATTTCAGAACGACATGCTTTGGGAACAACGATTTGATAAACAATAACCAAATCCTATGAAGCTGGCACATCTGGTGGTCTCCATTTCCTCATAAGCACACCAATTTAAAAAAAATAACCATTTGGAACTTTCTCCAGATCATCTTTTGGGAGTGCATATTTAAATAGTGAAGAGATCTGCAGGTCTTTTTCTTGTTTAGTGATCATTTTACTTTTAGTGAAAGGAACTTCACAATGTGAATCAGATTCCTTACGTCCATTGTTGTTCCTCACCGAGGAATCATCAGTAGGACAATTACCCACAAGATCCTCGTCAGATCCAAACAATGTCTGAGACA